CGGAGGGCCGGACTGACGCACCTGTAAGCAATTAACCTGTCTTCGTGAATAATAATAATGTGTTATCCGAGTGGTGTTGGTCGCCGTGATCTCGTCCGATGACCGGTAATAATTACGATACTCTAAAACGGACATTCAATGGTTTAAGCAGGCGCGGATCTAGAACATATTTACGGGGGGGGGGGGGGCGCATTTTAAATGAATTTTTAGCCTAAGTCCGATAAAAACATTGTACATACCTACTATGTAAGCTAATAATTAAATATTATTATTTAAATCCTAGTTTATCAGTATAATAAAATAAATAAAATAATTAGATAATAGTAATATAAATGGTTTAATTAATAATGATACGTAATATATAATTAATAATAATTAATAATAAAATATAACAAATATTAAAAAATGATCACAGAACAAAATCATTTCGTCTTTTAGATTTGGCATATTCGTCAATTACTCCATTTAAGAGCTAAAGTTAGACATTTTATTGTATCAAACAAGTTTAAATATTCCATTAGATTAAATTTGCTTTTTGACGGCGACCGATAAAAACGGACATGGGGACACAGCCGAAACGCTATTGATAAAACAATGCATTTTATCGGCTGTCGAAAATAGATATAATAGAAAATTCACCAGAGTCTACGGGTGGGGGGGAGGCATAGCCCCTTGGCCCCCCCCCCCCCTTGGATCCGCGCCTGGGTTTAATATTTTAAGAGTTTAACAGAAAAAAAAACCGACAAAACGTTTTAACTCGACGTTCTGTAGGTACTTCGACAGAAGTCTGTAATAGCAACACTCGCCGTAATATTTTGACACGAGTCGATTGAATTAAATCACTTGATCGCGTCGTTCGACTTGCCAAACACGTTTTGTAACGATACTCGCTGAATGCCGATAACAATACGCGTCTTATCCTGGACCCTTTCGCGTGTTGTATATAGGTACGGCATGGACGGATCCACGAACGTGCAGGGCGAAGACGTCAAGAAGCTGGACGTGCTGAGCAACGAACTGTTCATCAACATGTTGGCGTCGTCCTTTACGGTTCACATGATGGTCAGCGAAGAAAACGAGACTGTGATAGAAGTACGTATTTACGTCCTTGATTATTACTCTTTTATGGTGTATGCCAATGACAGCCGACTTCGATATTGTCATCGTATTTTCTCCGTATACTTATTGGATCTGACGAGAGCGCACCACGTAGTATACGTTTATACACGAGTTGTATTTGTAATTTGTTGAGTATATACGAGATGTTTGTCTTTTGCCCTGCAATGTACACAACTCGTTGTTTATTTATCAGTTACTTTTGACGTGCATCAAAGTTTAAAAGGCTACACTGTAAACCATTTTATTACTGCGAAACATTCGATTTTTCAATATTGACTATTTTTGTTTTTAGATTGAGACTGAAAAACGTGGTAAATACATTGTATGTTTTGATCCACTGGACGGGTCATCCAACATCGATTGCCTCGTGTCTATCGGTTCAATATTTGGAATATTCAAGTACTTACAGAATAATACTATTATTATTATACTCATGCAACACGCATATATTCCAGGTCTATGTTATGCTGATACAATATAATATTCATAATCACTTGCAACAATGACATTTTATATTTATTGAAAATTATACTCCGTTAGTATAATCTAACAGAGTAACCTATAACACAATACATACTATTTATTCATGATTGTAAAAAAATATATATAATATACAATATAATATTTTAATTATATTGTTAATTTTAAATTAGTATGGAAAAATTAAAAAGGAATAGTAAACTATTGTCATTTTATTACGTTAATACTTAAAAATTCCCCAACAAAAAATAAACAATAATATTTTATATTAAATATATGCAGGTGATGGAAATAATTATAACTATTCAATAACTTTAATTTAGTTAAGTCCCTCCTAACTTAATCTATTTTAGCGCATAACTAATGGTATTACGAATTAAGAAATTTCTATTATCATTTTTTACAATAAAATAATATAAAAAAATAAACAATTTAACATTACGTTTAACACACAGAAAAACTAACGAGAGCAACGAGACAAATGTAACAAATGCCTTTCAAACGGGTAGGAATTTGGTGGCCGCCGGATATGCGCTTTATGGTAGCGCAACAATGATGGTTTTGTCACTCGGCAAAGGGAGCGGAGTTAACGGGTTCATGTTAGATCCAGTAAGTTCTCGAGATAATAATAAATAAAATAAATTTTCATAACATGATTAGAGTTTTTCTATTTAAACACGAATTTCATTTTGACAGTCGATTGGTGAGTTCTTGTTGACCGAAAGTAATATCAAGATACCCAGCAAGGGAAATATTTACAGTATCAACGAAGGGTACTCACACTTGTGGGACAAATCCGTGACAGAGTATGTGAGGAGGAAAAAAGATCCTGAGGTAATTTTGTGTCATTATTTTTATATGATTTAGAAATCACAGCAAACATTTAATGTTTTTTTTCAGTGTGGTAAGCCGTACGGTGCCAGGTATGTTGGCTCAATGGTCGCGGATGTACATCGTACTTTGAAATACGGAGGTATATTCATGTACCCAGCCACAAAAGTATCACCAAACGGCAAGGTATAATTTAATAAAATTATAATAATGTAAAATAAATAACATATTTTAAGTCACTTCATGAATTTAATTAATTTTATACTATTTTAGTTACGGCTACTATATGAAGGAAACCCAATGGCTTACATAGTGGAAGAGGCAGGCGGATTAGCGAGCAATGGTAAGATACCCATATTGGACATACAACCCACAGCGCTACATCAAAGAACTCCAGTATTTTTGGGCTCCAAAGAGGATGTCAACGAATTGTTAGAAATATATCAATCGTAATGCATACATTTTTTGCAAGAAATTGATTACACAAAAAAATATTGGACATTTATTGTTGTAAATGTTATACAATAATTACATTTTTTTCTTTTAACTATTACCAATTGTTAAACTGTTTAAATATAATCAACCTCAGTGTTGATTATAAGTAATTATACAAATAAATAATATTAATGTAACCTAAAATATAATATATTGTAAGAACACAAATGCTAGCACTTAATAACGAAGAGCTAATTGATGGAACACTTCAAAGATATGAATGTCAAGATCTCGAGTGAAAAGGGTACTTCTAGAGTACTGCTGTATTTTTGCGCTTGTTCGTGATGCTTAAATAAAACGAGAATTCAATCGAAACAAATAAAATACATTTTTACATAAAATTAATCAAAATTAGTATACCCAATATAATTACCTAGAAAATGACTTGTAAATATAAAAAAAAAAAAATATTACAAATTCATAATAATATTAAAGTATCTACCTACAAATAGAAAAAAGTCTTAAGTTAAACTTATGTTTAATAACGACTTAGAATTTTATTATGCAAACAGATATTTTGAACATTTAATATTAACTACTATTCCCCAACTTTAAGAAAATATTAAATTTATCTTAAGAGATTATAAATATAATAAGTTATTTTTTTACTTTGTAATATATTTTTTGTATTTTCATAGTTCTTTCGTATTATAATGAATGGTTTAATTTTTCATAGAAATAATTTTAAACTTGTTTAAAGAAATTTGATTAAATGTTTCAAAGTGTATAAGTTATAATAGAAATAACTAACTTTTTTCTAATGCAAACAAATTAATATAAATGGCTGAAAATAATTTTTTTTGAAACTTTCAAATTAGATCAGATAAGAATCCATAAATGTTTATGAAGTAAGCCGAATATGTTTTTTGATAGTCGTTTCTATTTATTTTTCATTTTACGTATTTGTGCGAAGACGGAGTTATGATTGTTTTGTGAATTTCAAAACGAATCTTACATGTTTGCATGTACGTCTTTCTATATATATTTTTTGTTAGAAGCGTAATTTATAAAAAAAAATTAATAGGAATTTTAAGGAAAAACGTTATTCTGGTAACTTTGCATATTTTTATTTTTCGAGAAAGAAGTTTCGTTTTAAATTTTAAACAGTTTTACAAATTTTAAAAAGTTACATTTTCACAGGAATGATGCATTTATATTTGTTAAATAAAAATTAAATTTATCATAATTTTATTTTTACTATTGAATAAATTATTTTTTCTGTATAGGAAGTATGTTGACAAGACTTATTGATAACTACTTCCATGTACTTTTATTTCTGTCATTTCATTTCTAAGCCTGTATATTTATGAATATGGCAAGCAATATATTCGTCAATTAAAAATTACAAAAAAATTATTTATTATTATCGAATAAATTAATTTTTACTATCGAAGTATGCTGACGATACCTGTCGATAATTTTTTCTTAGTAGTTTTTATTTTTTTATGATTTTTTGGAAGTATGGATTAATGGGTTAGCTGCAAAATTAAGCTTGCACGTTTACGAATTACGGATATGATAGTGTGCAATATTAGTAAAAAACTATTACAAAAAAAATTAATAATTAATGGAAATGTAATGGAAAACCGTCAACCTGGCCACCTTGTATAATTTCAACAAAAAAGTGTTCAAGCGAGTGGCTTTTTGCTCGAAAAAAAAATTACAGAAAAGTTATAAAAGTTATAAGTTATAATTTTGCTGTGTTCATAACATAATAAAATGTTCACTAATTTTTTTATTTTTTCATACAGTTAATTACATAATGGCTAAGAAAAAAAAATAAAAATAAATCGTTGTGATCAGTTTTTGTTATTTCTTGTTTCTCTTCCATACCTACGCTAATCTTTTCCGTAACTTGTCATCTTCATCCATTGAAATTTACCATCACATTATCATTTATTATAATTTATCTGTTATACGCGTCATAGATTGATATACACACAATATGCATAATAATAATATTATTCTATAACATAATCTTTGTAAACAAGTATAATTGTGTATGCGCGCGCACACGTTTCCGTGTGTGTTGTTGTTTAAAACGATGACCTTCACAGCGTCTACAAATAGTCTCCACTCTCCGCAGTGGCACAGTTTTCACTCCTCTACACGTTAATCAGTTGTTTGCTTAATGTCATACAGTGCGTCGTGTTGTTTTCAAATTCGTTGCAACTAATTTCAACGTCAATAACAGCAGTTCTCGTCTTAAACCCAAAGGTAAGAACAAGACCAATTTTTTATCGGTTTATATCCTCTCTTTCTCCTTAAACCACCGTTGGTTTATAGCGGGAATGACGCAGGAATAGCTTCGGTGGTATATCCATGAAAATAAAAAAATAAATAAAATGTTAGTGTAAAATTTACTAGAAAAAATATAATTAAATAACTGCTCTATGTGATAGAGTGTAGATCAGTTTATTTTTCGTCTTCCATAGTCATTAGTCAGAACGGAATTGTTTATAGTATAGCTCCTATAATAGTCCTATGCCGTATGGATATGTCTCAAGTCTGGTCTAAATAAAGCAAATTTAACTATTAATTTTACATGAATAATAAGCCTAAGAAAAAGTTCAAAAACGGGCAACGGCTGATAAAAAAAAAACTATATAAATAAATGATGTAGTTAGTTGAAAAAAAATTTGCAGCTGTTGGCAATAACTTTAAAACGTACAATGATAGTACTTGTAATCACGTCAGTTCCTTAAATTTATGAGCTTTTTCTGTACACTCGAGTATAATACATATACATATATATATATTCAAAAAATGGTTATTGTTAGAAGGTACCACATTAGTATACTGTCTAGAAATTAAAAGTAATAACACATAATGTAAAGTATAAGTACATTTATATAGTCGATTATATTCCTATCTTTTTATGGCATAATAATAAAGATATAAGATAGAAAAATTTAAGTCTCACGGACTGATTAAGTTAATTATTATTTTTTTTTTTAATTTCTCCAGTCCTCTATTATCAGTAAACTTTTCTCAATAATGTATAACTAAAAAAATTATGATTGTATATAGTATATACGTATGAATATTATTTTAAAATAAATTTAATATAATATATTCCGATTTTTATGTTTAAGTAAGGAATTGAAGAGATGATAGTAATATATTTCCCAATTATAGTAAACACTATTTAGTGAAGAAAATTACAAAAAATCATAAGATCTAGTATATAACAACTTTTTTTTTTTGTAGGTTTATAGCTTATATCTGAAAATTTACCTCAACATGTTAACTAAACTTATACGTAATGTTATTAAATAGATGATAAAATGTACGTAAAATATTCTCGATTATAAATTTTAATTGTATTAATTATTTAAGTTCCGCATGATGCTTTGACCGTGAACGCACACCCCTACCATAATAACCTAAGACCTGAGACTTTCATCTCAGTCAAGTATCGTTGAATAATAACAACGTAATAAAATATTCATAATCAGTATAATATTGATTTATTATTATAATAATTGTAATATGCCGCTGAACTGGTCTTAATTAATAACTATTACTCTCCATTAAGGTTTAATTCAGTGTTTCTGAAAGCAAGCATTATTGTGCATCCCGTTGAGGGCTTAAGGAACATCCAAAGGTATAATAATAGTATAGCTACAACCACAATTGGTCGAGGGATGCAATATTTATAGGTGTAATTAAAGGGTGTACACTGTTGTCACTGTTAAGTGAATTTAAGTTCCCATAAAATATATTATAGCACATAAAAATCATTCATTGGTATAGCAACGCAAGTTAGGTACAACATGAAAAAAATACAATCCTACGTAAGTTTCTACAAGAAAAAAATGATATCGATACAAATCTTTTTCCTACATTATTTATACTTAGGACTAACAACTTAAAAGTAGTTGAACCCGTTAAAATGTGTTTTCGATGTTTTATTTTGTAAAAAGAAAAATATCAATGGAATATAAATACTATTTTTAAATCTACAGACTATATAGTTATGTCAAATGTCCACCGCAATAATTGAAAATACTATCCATATATTATACCATCTATGATTAATCGAATTTTCATCAAATGTGGATATTATTAAATGTATGTATTGTCAATAAAAAACACACATTTTCATATACCTATTGCTTTAGAATATTTGTTAACATTACACGTTATCCAAGCATAAAATATCATACATTTATACTGATAACATACACACACATCACACTTACAGATAGGTCAAAGAACAATGTAAGCGACCTATAAAAACACGAAGCTATACCTATACTTAAAATTGTATACTATATAATATATTTAAATCTATATTTTTATATATTAGAAAAAACATCGTATTTTTCGATTTTTTCGATATAGCAATGTTAGTTTCAAATTAGATTAGATCAAAAAAAAAAAAATTAAAAAATACCAATAACATCATGCTAAGTATATTGTTACCGATTCGAGCTGATTGACTTGGCGAAAATTAAATTTATTGAGATAAAATTACTTTGTTATGAATTATGAATTTTTTTTTATTCAATTTGAATTAATTTACAAGAAAAAGGCTCTGAAGGTTCTGTTGTAATAATGTTCTGGACAAAGACTGACTGCTACATGTGTGTGTGTCATCGCATACGAGCTGGAAATTCGGTCAAAAAAGTGAAAAGGGTTTACTCGGCAAATTCCTAAGACCAGTCGTATATGGGGTAGGGAGTCCTACACGCCTTTAATTACACACATATCAGTTTACAATGTGTTTCATTATTTCATAGCTTCATACAATCATATATATATATAAATATTATTAGTAATATTCAGTGGTTCATATCAATACTATATGAAACGCTTGTAAGAATTTTAACGCTTTAGTTGTCGACAAAGACCTTTTATTTTAGTATAATCTATTTTTTTGCTTTAAACATAACTAAAATATTTTTGTGTTAAATTTAAAAATGGTTTATAAAGTAACCGAGATATTATCAGGAGCTTTTTCGCCAGCTGAAAATGAAAAATGTGGAAATAAGAATATATTATTAATAATACTATTGTATAACCTACTATTATACAGTTATACGTCACTTTTAAAATCTAAAACTTATAGAAACGAAAAATTATTTACAAAACTTACCATTTAATAGCCATACTCAAAAGTCAAAATGTATAAGTCAGCTAGTTTATAATTCAGTAAATTTAAAGTAAATAATATTTTTTTTCACTGCTTGCTCTAGGTTCAAACTAAATTGAGATGATGTACGATATATTTAATTGTGATTATTTTTGGTAGCCTGCTTTAAGATAATTGTTTACCAAAGTTGCCCGCTGAAGAAAGAATATTGAATATTATTAACACTAAGGTATCGTATACACTTTTGGTCTATAACTATGTATACAGTAGGTATTATACATGTTGTGTAGACTAGCAAACTATATAATGTTCATAATAATATATCACTACGAAGAAATAATATCGTTTCATTAAATTGTTGTTCAAAGTGTTCAAAATGCTATCGATAACCTACATAAATGTGTGTGTATAATTTATAGTTAAATGAAAATCTAATCAGACTATCAGAATTTAATGAGCACATTCTAATAAATATTAACAGAAATTCGAGTGTGTATACTATAATAGCGGCAATGATGTACACTACTTTTTATAAAAAATGTATAATTTATATATGTACATTGTACAGAGTGATTATTTTAATGCCGTCATTGATCAATCATCAGTTTATAGGTAATATGTTTATTTTAATATTTAATTCAAGCTTTTAAATTGTTTTTTACATATTTAGATATAACTTTAAAAAAAACGCATTATGTTTTTTTAAGCGTCTAGCATTATATTTAACCTCGCTCTTGCTTATCCATATAAAAAAAAATCTATTCTTACATTAAAACATATGTTACATTATATATCATATTCTTTTATTTAGCCTTATTTTAATTTATTTTTAATGAAATTATGTTTAAGAATATTTAAAAGAATTATCTTGCAAATTATAGTTAGGGATATTGACTGATTCAATGACCCAGCGCTTTGGATACTATAAATTTAATGTGTGTGTGTGTCGTATATATCATGTAACATGGTTATGTAGGTATATATAGACAATCACTAATCACGTTATACAGTAAATATTGTACGTTATTGTACTAAGAATTTTGAACCATATTATTATAGTTTTTTACAAACATGTAAAAAAATTAATGTTTAGAGTTCAAGTTTTAATCTTAGTTTAAGTAATATAAAGTATTTAATAATAAACCTTGTTTCCGCGTATATTCGTTACTAGTCACTAACTGATCTATAGTTTATATAATCGTACGATATGGTAATTGGCAATTACCAGTAGAATACAGATTTCATTAATCACAAGCTTGATGGAGGAATATTCAAAGTTATGGACTACAATACGAACAGAGTATAAAAAACCTAATTCTGAAATAGGAAAATGTCTGCATTTAATTTTTGGTTTGTCACTTTTTTCACACAAAGAAGTGGAGGATGTGTTTGTAGAAGAAATAATTACAATTCAACAATTGAGTATATTTCATCTAATTCTACATTCCTTCCGACACTGTGGGCGTCTAATTCTATAAGTTCTGAACGTACAATTAATGCGTGTGAAGCTTTTCACCCTTCATTTTCTTCAAACTTTTATTCCTCCCATTCAATAAATACACATAAAACACGCTGATGTACAACTTCTCGAAAAGTCCCTCTAATGACCATTGCGCCATGTTCTATAATATGGCCATAAACATTTTATGATAGCACGAGTATACGACTATACCACTGAACACGTCGCACTCATCTCACCGTAATAATGATACGATACAACGAACGAACAAACTAATTAACAATCCATCCTACGTTTTTCTTTTTCTTTGCTCCATCACGCATTCACACAAGTTCTAATTGAACGTCATTGAAATGCATAGGCTTTTTTAATCACACAGGTATTATATAATCAGTATATAAATTTATAACAGTTGTGTAGGTGTCGAGAAACGTTGTCAGCCGCAAAAAAAAAAACAATTTAAAAAAATATTTAAAACAGTAAATGTCGCGATCGGCGGTGGGCTTACGATGGTTTACTACGTTCTGCGGTAATATATTATTATATATATTAAAATAAATCCGTCACTAATATCAAATAACAGCAGTGATGATTAATAATTATTATTAACGCGTATACACATTTGAGATGATGTGATGTGATTGACGTTCTCCGACCAAATAACAATTTGCTTTCGATTGTTTTCATGCGTACAGATAATCTTGGCATACGTCCCATACCAAAAGCACCGCGCTTGACACCCAGCAAAACGATGTCGGAACAGCAACAGTACGAGCCACCGGCGTTCGACTCGAACTGCATGACGCTCACGCGTTACGTGCTGGCCGAACAGAAAAAAGTGCCGTCGGCCACCGGAGACCTGACCCAACTGTTGACCAGCATTCAGACGGCCGTCAAAGCGGTCAGCTCGGCCGTGCGGAGGGCCGGACTGACGCACTTGTAAGTACCTATAATAAACTTTTTGTCTAGGCACGTCGATCGAGTGTTGGTCGTCACGTCGTCCGATGACCGGTAATAGATAGCTACGATACTCGAAAACGGACATTGAACGGTTTAAGAGTTAAATGCGTTCTGTGCAGCGTCGACGCTCTGCAAGTGTGTAATCAACACTTAGTGTCGTTCCCAGGTTTTGCGATGCTCCGGGCATCATTAGAATTCGAGGCCCCCGGATTTACAAAATAACATCGAAATCCATATAGGTTTTGTGCACCAGAGTAGCGGTCTTCAATATTTGTTTTATATAGATACTCATACTCGAGTACCCGAAAATGGGGTCGCTGTAAATTGCGTCCCATTTTTAATTTTTTGTGTAAATTGAGGCCCGGGTATATTTCATACACATGGGTAAATTACGGCAAGGATATATTTTGTATATATGTAAACTGCGGCCGAGGTATAATTTATATAAAATCAATTTATTTATTAAAATCAATATTTTCCTTCCCGTTTTTCAGACTTAGGACTGGCAATATAATTGTTTTAGTATTGCGGGTATGGTTAAAAATATTCGTTTTGCTGTTTTTTGTTTATAATTAAAAAATATATCATTAACAAATTACTAATCAAGTATTAGGTAAAAATGTGTGTCATTAAAAAAAAATTGTAATTAAGAAACTATTAAAAATTTGTAAGATAATTTCCTCACATAGTCTAACGGAGTAATTTTTTTTGCTTTTTATTTCCCGACTTCTCAAGTTGATATCTACATCGTAGATTATAATTATTAGTTATTACTAATCTTTAAATTGTACAGCCGACCAGATATCGGAATATCCCGGGCCGCAATTTACGTAAGTCATAAGAATACACAAGCCACAATTTACGTATATTTTAAAAATATATGGGCCGCAATTTACATAGTATAGGACTATGACATTTTTTGTGGGACGCAATTTACAGACTCCGACGAAATGTCTACTAACTTGATCTAATAACCTTTCTTTTCGTTATCAACCAATGTATACCTTATTTACGTGTTAAAGATAATTAAAAGATTACCTATCCACATTGCTACGAAATTTAACACATACTATTACAGTATTTTAATAATATCAGTACCTAGGTACCTATTAGCTATTCAAAATATAATAATGTTGTTTTTTATGTTATTCTAACAACAGTTAACAGCTTTTCACTATGCAAACATTGATATTATCTGAAATATATTTAAATTCTAAGTCGTTGCTAAAATGTTTGGAAATATTTTTATTTACACGATATATTATATATTATTGTATAATATATACGCAAGCTTCTTCGAGTTGCGAGGTCCTGGGCGAGTGACTTGTTTGCTCTGCACTCGGGACGACACTGCCCAGACTCGAGTATACTACAATAATAATACGTATACGTGCATATGTTATTAAAGTGTTGTCGTGATGTCGTTTGATGTCCGATAATAACCATACTCGAAAACGGACATTGAATGGTTTAAGACTGAGTTAAATAGAAAAAAGAACAAAAATCATTTTAACTCTACGTTCTGTACTTCGACACAAGTCTGCATGTAATCAACACTCGACGTAATATTGAAGAGAGTTAAATTAAATCAATTGTGTCAATCGACTTGCCAAACACGTTTTGTAACGATACTCGCTGAATGCCGATAACAATACACGTCTTATCCTGGACCCTTTCGCGTGTTGTATATAGGTACGGCATGGACGGATCCACGAACGTGCAGGGCGAAGACGTCAAGAAGCTGGACGTGCTGAGCAACGAACTGTTCATCAACATGTTGGCGTCGTCCTTTACGGTCCACATGATGGTTAGTGAAGAAAATGAGACTGTGATAGAGGTAGGTACTCATTTACGTCCTTGATTATTACTATTTTATGGTGTGTGTGCCAATAACAGCCGACGAGTATCCGTATCCTCATTGTATTTCCACCGTTTAGTTACTCGATCTGACCACAGGGCTAAGCCCAGAATTCGGGAGTATTAGTAAATAGTAATTTCAGCACGCATAGAAACTGTTAATGTTTTTTTTTCTACAATGTACCTACTCAACTCATTGTTTATTCATTAATTACTGTTAATGGATTAAATCTGTAGCAGTGTTGTTTAAAGTTTTAAAAGCTGCGCCGTTTGAAGTGTTTGAACTATGTCGTTGCAAAACACTCGGTTTTTCAATATTTTTTTTTTGTTTGTTTTTAGATTGAGACTGAAAAACGAGGTAAATACATTGTGTGTTTCGATCCTCTGGATGGTTCATCCAACATCGATTGCCTCGTGTCCATCGGTTCAATATTTGGAATATTCAAGTAGGTATTCATTATATAATACTATTTTATTATTACCTACCTAATCATCAAGCCTGAAGCACAGGTGATCATGTCCATTTGCTATTATTATTAATTTATCTTTCTTATCACCGATTTTTTCAATACACTAGAGAATAGAAACAATATTAAATTAAAATTAAATGTACCTTTAGGTAGTATTTAAAAACAACCCTCCTAATTTTATGCGCTCTATTGTTCAGTTCAAAAACAAATTGTTTAATGCTATGAAATAAAATACCTCTTACTTTACTGATACCAATATCTTATTTTAGTCAATTGCGTACCTATTTAAATCTTTTTCCAGTATGACTGTAGAAGAGAGCCGGGAGGTTTAAATAATATTATATTATATTGGGGAATTATTGATTCCGCCGAAACTACCTGTTTAGGAAAAAGGTTTGTATCGATTCCGTTGTCAATTAATTCCGCCGGCTACTGTTTAAAATATCTACATATCGATTCCGCCAGCTACTGTTTATAATATCCACACATCGATTCTGCTGGACACTATTTATGCCCCTCTTGTATATGTATTTTTAAATATATAGCAGCGATTTCCAAACTTTTTTAGTTTACGTCACCATAAAAATAAAAAAATGAATTGCACCTTCTATGAAAAATTAAATTAAACTTTTATAGTATTTAATTATCCAAATATTTTTATTGTTGTGATAAAATAAATCAACAATAAATATTATTAAATTTCTATTTAAAGTATTACAAAATTTTTAATTTTTATGAAAAAAAAAAAAAATAATAATTATTAATATTAATATTTATGTGAATATTTAAAAGAATATTAAAATGTGTAGTCTAAATTGTATAAAATGATAATAATAATTGTATAAATCAAAATTAAAATCTAAATCTAATTAATATTAATTAATATGTCTCACACATGTACGACATAGCAAATTTTCGTTTACCGATAAACAGTAGTCGGCGGAATCAATATGTAGATACTATAAACAGTAGCCGTCGGAATTGATATACGCCCATTATATTATATAAATACATATATATTGTTGATTTTAATGATGTGGCATGAGAAAAATAAAGACGGAATAGTAAACTATTGTCATTTTATTACGTTAATACTTAAAAATTCCCCAACAAAAAATAAACAATAATATTTTATATTAAATATATGCAGGTGAGGGAAATAATTATAACTATTCAATAACTTTAATTTAGTTAAGTCCCTCCTAACTTAATCTATTTTAGCGCATAACTAATGGTATTACGAATTAAGAAATTTCTATTATCATTTTTTACAATAAAATAATATAAAAAAATAAACAATTTAACATTACGTTTAACACACAGAAAAACTAACGAGAGCAACGAGACAAATGTAACAAATGCCTTTCAAACGGGTAGGAATTTGGTGGCCGCCGGATATGCGCTTTATGGTAGCGCAACAATGATGGTTTTGTCACTCGGCAAAGGGAGCGGAGTTAACGGGTTCATGTTAGATCCAGTAAGTTCTCGAGATAATAATAAATAAAATAAATTTTCATAACATGATTAGAGTTTTTCTATTTAAACACGAATTTCATTTTGACAGTCGATTGGTGAGTTCTTGTTGACCGAAAGTAATATCAAGATACCCAGCAAAGGAAATATTTACAGTATCAACGAAGGGTACTCACACTTGTGGGACAAATCCGTGACAAAGTATGTGAGGAGGAAAAAAGATCCTGAGGTAATTTTGTGTCATTATTTTTATATGATTTATAAATCACAGCAAACATTTAATGTTTTTTTTCAGTGTGGTAAACCGTACGGTGCCAGGTATGTTGGCTCAATGGTCGCGGATGTACATCGTACTTTGAAATACGGAGGTATATTCATGTACCCAGCCACAAAAGTATCACCAAACGGCAAGGTATAATTTAATAAAATTATAATAATGTAAAATAAATAACATATTTTAAGTCACCTAATGAATTTAATTAATTTTATACTATTCTAGTTACGGCTACTATACGAAGCAAACCCAATGGCTTATATAGTCGAAGAGGCAGGCGGATTAGCAAGCAATGGTAAGATACCCATATTGGACATACAACCCACAGCGCTACATCAAAGAACTCCAGTAATTTTGGGCTCCAAAGAGGATGTCAACGAATTGTTAGAAATATATCAATTGTAATGCATACATTTTTCATAAGAAATTTATTAAATAAAAAAGATTGAACATTTATTGTTGTATATAGTAATAATTACATTTTTTTTTTTTTAACTATTGCCAATTGTCATACTGTTTAAATATAATCAACCTCAGTGTTGATTACAAATAATTATACAAATAAATAATATTAATGCAACCTAAAATACAATATTATATTGCAAGAACACAAATGCTGGCACTTAAGAACGAAGAGCTAAAAATTGATGGAACACTTCAAGGATATGAATGTCAAGATCTTGAGTGAAAAGTAGTCCTTCTAGGGTACTGCTGTATTTCTGCACTTGTTCATGATGCTGAAAACAAAATAAAAAGGGAATTTATTCATAACAAATAAACAAATTTATTAATATAATTAATTTAATTAGTATAAAGTATAAGCAACAATTAAAAATTGATAAAAATTATTTTAAAAAAGAAATTTGTTGTAATGATAAGTAAGGGTTTTTTTAATTTATGAATTTAAAACTTATAGAAAGTAATATTCTATAAGCATAAAAAATGTTTAAGTACTTCATTAGAATGGGAAAATATGACTTTGTAATTAAATATGATAGCAATATATCACATAATTTTACAAAAGGTAATGAGTTTGTAACTGTATACTTGTATTTCGATACAAAGTATTATTAAAAATGTAAGAATATAGTTTGTTTTAAGTGAACCCTGAAAAATATATGAATTTTCAGTTGTTATACTTACAGCTAAGAAAACCTGTTGGAGTCTTCCAACAGTGTATTTATACCAATATGTGTCAAATGGTCTATCATCTGTATCACATTTAACTAAATGCTCAGACAATATCATTATAAATCTCTGAAATAGAAAAATATATTAATATGATAATTATTTAATTTTGCCATATAGCATACTTGAAAAACAATCAAAAACAAATTTTTCTGATCAGCTTGTGCCATTTCTAGTTTTTCTTCCATACGTTCAACCATCTCTTCGGTAACATTATCATCTACATCCATTGGAACTTGACCGCCAAATGTAGTTGCTGATTGTCGAGGTTTTGCCTCAGTCTTTTCTGTTTCTGTATCACTGTCATCTGAACTATTTGATGTCGCTGCTGTTGTTCGTAACTTTTCTCTAGCTTCATTTAATTCTCTGGTCAATCGATCCACATGTCTAGACATCTTATTGATGGTCAATGACAATATCTCCCAAATATACAACCTTAAAAATTCATAATTATTAAAAATAAAATTTATCATAAGTAACTGAAGAAAAAGAAAAATAGAACTATGGCCAAACTCATGAAAAGTGATTATCTAAGTCAATTTTGTTTAAAGATGAAAAATAAAAAAATTGATCATTATATTTATTCTTTATAATTTAAATATTGTGTAGACTTTATGGACTATAAATTTATTATTATATTTTCTTAGCATATATATATATAGAAATGATACAATACAAAGAATTCCTGGTACCAATATTTAGGATCTACCATTAATCACTATTCATGAATCTCACTGTAAATAGTATAAATAGATTACTTCGTAAACTCTGGTATCATTTCTTTTGAGAATATCCAATTTGCTACTGATGAACATTCAATAATTTGTGTCTTTAACATTTTGTCGATGAGTACAGTTAACATTTGCTGATCTGCACACCATAAATCAAATGTACTTCTTAATATTTGCAATTGACCATCATCAGTTTCTCCTAAGGCCTATACAATTTTAATTTAAAATTATCATGTATTCGTACAGAAACATTATCATTTATTAAATGCAAAAATTTTTCTGCTTAGAAGTATATTATTTAGATACAGATCATATGAATATAATAATGCATACCTTAAATACACTTATGAACTTTGTGATTGCTGCAAAAGCATGTGAAAATGACTTGCTGGCTATAAACAACAAAGTTTGAACAAAAGCATCAATTTTTATTGGATTTGAGATACTAATGTCAGCTGGTTCCATAATTTCTCCGTTTTCTGACATTAATGGTTCTTTTAATATTTCAAGTATATCTTCAGGAGTTGTTTTATTACGTATTTTAGTAAGTAATGTGTTGGATAAAAACTGACCAGGTAACACTGAAAAAAAAAAGAAGTAAAGTAAAATTTTAAATGTTGTAATAAAAAAAAAAAATGTGAAATCTTACTAGATTTTTCAATGGCATATTTAAACTTTGGTTCTGGTTTCTCTGGCAATAAAGGTTCAAAATCTGGTGGCACAATATCACGCATACGCTCATAAAATGATAATCTAAAAATAACCAATAAATGTTTAATTATTAATAATTGTTACAATATTAGTACAAGACATGTGTACCTCATGGCTTTTTGAAGGACTTCGCGAACAAACTTTGGTTTTGGGTGTTCTGGATCCAAGGCTAAACAATCTGCCCACTCTTGCCAAGACCAACTGAATTTGAAATTACTTAAATGGTATGCAAACCATGATACAAACCTAAAAATATTAATTCACTTATTTAAAAGTGGCAAATAACAATCAATAATAATGTGAAATACCTATCAAATGCACAGACATGCATAGATTCTATACGGGAATATAATATTTCTGTTGTTTGAGCCAGTACAAGTGGCATTGTGTTAGTTGATAATTTAGATAATTCAATAAAGACAGAGCCAAACATTACTTCTAAATATTTTGGTTTGGGTTGGTGGAACATCAAACCAAATATAACTTCAACGATACAATACTCTAGAGGAACCTTGTTTTTGTGAACAAAGTTCATTAAATTAGTTGCACTAGAAATAAAAATAAATAAATTCAAGCATTAAAGTATTAAGTCTATTAAATAACACACATATATATATATATATATATATATATATATATATATATATATATATATGTATATGTATAATTTGTTGTTAAATATTACCATTCTTTTCTATTTTTGCATGACATATCAATTATCTGTTGTAGATGTTCTTCAACTAAAAATCGTTCAATGGAATGAGCGCCAGGCATAATGTGACCCTAAATAAACGTTATCATTTTAAATAACAAAAATAAATTCTAAAATTATATCATTCATTATTCACTCACATCAGTGACATCTGTATAATCAAACATTCGGTATACAACCCATGGCATTGGATATACACAAGCATTATGATGGGGAGGTGGCACAATAGGTGGTAAATTATGCTGAAGAGCTTCACACAAAACATTGTCAAATGTCAGGTAAGGTCTTGGTATAATGGTCTCTGTCCAACTATCGTGTTTCAGTTTTTTAATCTGATTCCACAAACATTCTAAGTACTCTTCTTGAGGATGAGGTACATCTGTGGACCAAATCCGCAGCATATTAACATGCTTTTTTGGACGTTTATTCAAATATACCTCAATTGTTGCCAACAACATTTCAAGAGGTGATTCTCTTTTTTCATATAATTCTCTACCAACCCATGGTAAACATGACATAACAGCGTAACAATACCTATAAAAACAAATACATTTATCATTAAAATTATAATTTTTAGCTACATTTTTTTACTTACCAGTCTTTGCGTACATTAGGAACTCCATCTTCTTTAGTAACATCCAATAAACTGCCCATAAGTTGTACAAATGAACTAGCTGATACAACATGGCAATTCACCAGATCACCAATGAAACGTAGAACAACTCTAGCTTCATTCCAAGAATTATTTTTTAAGCTATCTTTGAAAGAACGTACAATGTTTTCTACAAACTGAATTTTCAAAAATAATTTTAAGATTAAGCACACATATAAAACAGTATCTAGAATTGGAGTATTATAATATTATATAATATTAAGTTCTCTTACTTCACCACCAAAATTGTAATTTTTTGCATTTAACAATCCAACCAGCGTTGAATAAATTGTACACTTTTCTGGCATATTAACCGCACATTCTACTAATAATTTGAGTACTTTTTTCTTAAAGTTTTGTATGTCACCATCAAGTACACTAGCTAAACCTTCTAAATTACTTTCTATTGTGCTAGTTGTCTGTTCATAAAAATAAATCAAAAAATGAAATTATAAATTATGTATCGTACAATATTGAACTAAATAATTTACAAAAAGTTTTTAATTTATCTATTATATTCTAAAAAATTAAATTAATATAACCATAAGCAACAATGTAATTAATTTTACTTTGATATTGTTGATCAAATTTATACTTAATAAGAAACTATTAATAATTTAAAAACAAATTACATTTTCTCCAACTTTAAGAACAAGACTTTCCAATCTATCTTCTAAATCATTACTTTCAGAACCACCACGGCGACGTTTTTTATAACCTCGATCAGAACCTAAAAATTACAATAAACACAAATTATTTATATGTACATACATAACTCTTGAAGCTGTAAATACCGATTTATTTGTATATAACAATAATAAATATAAACTACAACAATTAACTTGATATCCATTATTATTTTTTTAATAGCACAACAGTTATTGTGATTTCAGATAAGTAATATAATTTATTTGATACAATTTTAATTAAATTAATAGTTAACAATCTTTTTATGAACACCAATATAAAATATTGGTTGTATTGTAAGTAAATTGTATATCCTACATAGAAGAAAATTTAAAATTTCTAGATATAGATAAGATTATTCCTGATTAAACATTATTGTGATAGTTAGTAAAACAGCAGAGCAGCATAAGTGGCATATAGTGAGAATTGTACAACTGATTTATTTATATTTAGTTCAATATAGGTACTGCATAGTATCTATATCAAGATAATTATTTTTAAAATATATTTGATGTTAATAGTGCTTAATGTTTAAGTTCTAACTATTTTGCTGAGACCAGTGTCTATACAGTTACAGTATTGTATAGACTATATACAACTAAGTAAATGCTATTTTAGAATCTGTAATACTACTATGAATTAGTTATTTTGTACTAATAAATTAGTGTTTTCAAAACAAAAAAGTATAATTTTTAAATTTTTATTTATTAAAATTGTATAATTGTATTTTTAACATTGGACTGATGAAACATAGCAGAATATCTAAATAGTATTTATTGAAAT